ATCTCACCCTCAATAATCCATCTTTGATATTACACATTGATTACAATCTATAAGTCATGTACCGGTAGTTGCAACTCTTTCTGTATGGTATGCACAACGATGTAGTCTATAGTCTATCGCAGTGGTAATGATATTCTGCTACTGTGGACTACGAATGGGAAAATGAAGAATGTGAAGAGAGTGAGGAAAATGGCTAATTATATCAAAGATTTGAGAGAAAGCAGTTAAGCCAACCATCTCTCTTGAGAAGCCACCCAAATGCCAAACGTCAATACATGAGTATATAACCAAGTCTCTAAATCCGCACAAGAATCCGGACTCGCAGCGCCAGCAGAAACAGGATCCGGGAATGCCAAACAAGTGCGAGGATGATCAAAGATCAATCTCTCCCGAATAGTAATCTCAAAGCCACTCCGGTTCATGGTCGCAATTTTATTCTTCCGGTGTGTCTTGCGATCAATCGCCACGAGAACAAAATTTTCGGTATCTCGAGACCGCGGTGCCCCATCTCCATTCATAGAGGGAGTCCGTTTCTCCCATTGTAGGATCATCTGGCACTGCTTGGAGTCGGTCATACTTTCTTCATCCTGCATAGCAAATCTGTAACAGGGCGTACTTTTCTCAGTTGAGCAAGTACTAGCCAGCCAGATGCATCGTGCGTCGCGGAAGTGAATTTCTGATGTGGTGTTTTCATTGCTTGGCGGATGGCACATTGCGGCGACGGTCTCCTTTTTTTGGGCATGACCGCCGCTATTTTGATGTGCATCTCGTTCTTGGGAATGCCCCTGTTTCTGTGGCGGTTCATTCTTGGTGATATACGGCTGATGTAGAGTGGCGTATAAGTCTTTCGGTCCGAGCTTTAGGGGTTGCAGGAAACCTCTTGTTGATTTTGATTTGAGGAGTGATGGCTGCCAGATTTCTAGCACAGGAACTGGCCGGTGATTTGGAGGTAGTTGTTGGATTTGAAGGAGCAGTTTGGGACCGAGCCGGAGTCGTTGACTTGGTTTCGACGGCGGCCAAGCTATTTGGAATTTCGTTTCGTTTTTGATTTTATATTGAGAAGATGATCTGATGATTAAGTTAGATATGGGCTTGTGCATAGTGGAAGAATGCCATCTGTTCTTCTTTTGTTTTTGGAAGACTTCTGTACATCTGGGGATTTCATAGTGAAGCTTTGTGAATTTTCTCATCTTCCATTTCATGAGAGTCAAAAACACACAAAGATGATAAAAAAGACTCGGAGTTCAAAAGAATTGCCAAAGGAAGATCTTACAGTAAATAGTCCACTTTGGCTTTATAGCAAACATCACCCTTGTGTGGAACGTTTGTTTGCTCTTGAATGCCAACAGTTTTATCTCCATCGGCACTACCTTGCTCAATGTTTCTACGCAGGGAGAGGGCACGAGGAAAGTTTTGTGCTGAAGATTCGTCGTCCGTTCTTGACTGTTTATTTCGTGTGGTAGACAGATGCTTGCATCGAAATAGAAGAATTTCACCCAATCTAGGGTCGGCGGTAATGCATTCGGCCACCAATATGTAGGCTGTCATAAAGAAAATGAGAAATCCAATGACAATGCCAAAGTTACTAAGAGTACAAGTTTTTTGTCAGCAAAAGGCTTTCCCAAAGACACGGTTGTTCGGAAAGATTAACCTCAACACAAATGAGTAGTATATAGAGCCCGACCATGCTCTTTGGCCCTGGGCGGACGCGATACTCCAAATCTCAGCGCGAAATGATCGGCGCTGGGATGCCATTCCGGGTTCAATGAATGGAAAAATTGGACAACTCGAGATAATGGAAAGCAAAAAAAAGTAAAAAACAAAGCTAGCGTAGGAAAAAAAATTCGCCAGATAGCACCGGAGGCATCGTAATAGTCTCTGGCAGAGTCTCTATATACCATATTCTTTTTCCCCTTGGAGACTGTCAATTTTTTTCCCTCTGCTCCGTACGTCATTTTTGCTCTATTGGGATTCATTTGCAGAGTCTAGGGGACGGAGAACATGTCTCGCGTTAGTTCCGGATCGCCACGACCTTGTTTTCGGCGCCGATGTGGAGCCTTTGCTGAGTAAGAAGGAGACCCACTTCGGCGCCGAAGATGACCTCATCAGAACGGCTTTAAGAAAACCTGTCACTTTCCAGCAACTCTACCCTTAGCGGCCATGTCGGAAGCACTGAATCAGGCCTGCGACGCATGCCGAGCCCGGAAGGCTCGGTGCAGTAAGTCCAGCCCTGACATTTTCAATTGATAGCCCCGCTGATATCGGAAGCAGAGATGAGCACTGCAGATACATGTGAATTTTGTTTGGTAGGCCAATTCGCCCACTCTAGAGGTGGATCGTGAGGAATAACTAAATATGTGCAGTCTCGCAATAAACTATGCTGCTTTAGCGTTGTCAAAAAACGTCAAAAACGCAAGCTCGCCCACTCAGGTAAAGTGCTCGAAGAAAACCTAAGACTTCGCTCATAAAGAACTTACAGATGGTTCACCGAGACGTCCCATACCCGAGCTGAACGGGACAGACTCGCGAGATTTCGTTTCCACAAAATTATACATCGACTCGTTGTTGGTTGATCGGCAAGCTTCGCGCATCTCCATGAGCGCGAAACATCCAGATCAAGTTAGAACATTTCTCCGTACTTGATTGTCTCTGTCTGACCGTGCCAATCTATCTAGTTGACAGCTATATTTGGCCCGAACCCCAACATCTCTTTTTTTCCGGCCAAGAGAGTCCGCTCTATCAATGAAAGGCTCGGCCATGACAGACTAGAACAGCTGCTTGCAGACATTCGCGATATTGTCGCAGCCAAGGTGAAGGCGACAAGTTCGATCCCTCGCTCCCATGGTCTGAAAGAACACCACTTACAGAATGCTCAAAACTTTCCTCGTGAGCGCCTCAACGCACACATAAATAGTTCGTCTATCGATCCCATTTTCGTGCCACTTCTGCCAACTAACCCTCTCTCGCCACAGTTTATTTTGAGATGGTTCATCCCTTGTACCCTTTCCTTTGCGTTACCACATTCCAGCGCCAGGCAGCATCCCCTGACCTTTTTCATTTCCTTGCAACTGACAAAAGCTTTGCGGCGCTTTTTTATGCAGTTGTAGCGATTGGTTGCCTGTACAATGAAGGTGGTAGCTACGAGGCGGGCGTTGGCGAGGCATGGTCATACTTCGAACGATCGCTGTGTTATTTTCAGGATCTCGTTTTTTTTCGTGGTTCGCTCACGGCAGTTCAGGTCTATTTCCCCTAAAACATGAAGTGGTTGCTCAGAGACTGACTTTTTTTTGGTGTTAAAGGCTCTCATGGCTATGGTATAGTAATACATATTCTTTTGAAAAAAGGATGTTGCTAATTTGTCAGGCCATCTTCTCCTCTACTGCATCCGCCTTTCAATTTGAGCCGTTGATGCTCTCAGAGGCTGCAGTAATGGCACAGGGCTTGGGCTACAACCGCTCGAATGGCCCACACGAAGGTACGCAACGACGCACCTTTTGGGTACTTTACTTTATGGAGAAAGTCTCTTGCTTCATAACAGGAAGGGGCTCGGTATGTTTTTGAAATAACTTTGAAACCAGAGTGCAACTGACATGAAGATTCCAGGTTCTGCAAGATTCAAATATCAGCTGTGCCATTCCAGACGTGCAAGAATCTACGTTTGATGACTACGATTGGGGGTTCAGCTTTCTGCAATACGCCCGTCTGGTGTCCAAAATTCATAGCAGTCTATTCACAATAAGCTCGGTAAACCAGCCAGCTTCTGAATATAACGCCAAGGTGCAGGGTTTTTTAACAGAGCTAGAGTCTTGGCGTCTTTCTGCTCCTTTGCGTTTTCGCGCCGGAGAGCCGCTCAAGCCTCGTCTGCTGCGCGAGCCACTCGCTCAGATGATCGCGCTAATGACAAATTATCTTTATTTCGACGCGCTTTTAACTCTATCCTGGACCCTGTTGCATTTCAGTGCGATCAAGCTGGGGCCAATGCGACAGCTTGACTTGAAACGAGGGCTGATGAGAACTGCTCGCTCTGTTTTGGAACTAACTAAATTCATTGAAGTTGCCCCCTACACTCCCGTCTGGTAAGTATGCATAATCGAATAAAACTCCTGAGAAGCCAAAATCGCAAGAGTCACTGACAGCCAATATTAAGGATGCTCGCGGTGTTGCCGCTGTCATGTTTGATGATCCTCTTCGATCTAGTGGTCCACAACCCGGACCACCCTGAGGCTAGCCTTAGCCTTGCACTCCTCGATATCGCTAGCGGACATTTTAGTCGGCTAGAATTCGCCAGCAATGGCAGTCTGCCCGGCTCTTTGGTTGCACAGTTTGCACATCTTGCACGCCAATATGTATTTGAGAAGAGGGAATGCAGACACAAAATGATCGACATGGGCGCTCGTGATTACTCTTGCGACATTCAGTCTGCGGTGCCGGCTGGGGCAACAGCCATGCCTCCACCACCTGCAGAGTTGACCACCGCTGGTTTGCCAACATCAAATCAACCAGCTCAAACACTGCCTGGCCTACATGAGCAGCTGCCACTCGATCCTGGGGCCACGCGGATGTATGATTCGAATTTGTTAAGTGAAAATGACCAGTTATTCATTCCTTCTATCGACGATCCAAGCTACCGCCTTGAGGACCTCGAGCTGCTAGGAATTGACTTGAAAGACTTGTTCGATTACCCATATGCAATGTCAGGGGGTGACACCGTTGTATGATGAAGACTACCTGCGGGGGGGTCTTCACCTTTACGGAAGTGATTGAGACAACACTTCCCACCCTTTTCCCTTTTTCCCAGCTGGCAGTAGCGCCGACAAGAAAGATACCCCGGATTTCAAATTGCCGAGCTTTCAACTGTTTGGCTTTGGGAGGTTGCTGGGTGAAATATGGATGACTGGCCTTGAAGTACAATAGTAACTCTACTTTTGACATTTCAATAAAACAACCAGAGCCAATGCCTCAAACTCAAGCCGACATGCTCGAGTTAATATCTCACGTGGAACTAATATCTCATCTTTTGGGGAATCTTCAGGAGCATTGAAAACGCTCTATCAGATCCTTCTCTCCCTTCACAATTTCTTCTTCAAACCCCCTCCTTCAATAACTTTTGCCAATAATGAATCACCCAACTGGGCGAGGTGACCTATCGCGGGACCCTCAACTCCGACAATAATGATATCAATTTCACCCAGCCAAGAAACTTCGGATTGCTTCCTTGGCCAAAACATCGGCAGTAATTAACGTTGAGGGAATCAACTCCAAAATCGCAGAGCCGATCGTAGAACATCTCCGGACTTCGCTGTGGTCATTTGCTACCGTGGACACGGAATTGCATCAAAAGACATTGATCACAATTGTACCTCATTTCACGGTTTCAACTCAGCGATGGGCCGGCATGAATGATTTCTTACACACATCACGTATGTTCAACCCCCCCTGCAAGGCTTTAATGTCCTAGAAAGAAATGGATCAACCAAGTGACGACTCTCCATCCTCGTTCTGATGTAACAAATGCTTGTGCTCATGTGTGATCCCATAGTGGGCATAATCCGTTTAGTCCAACCCAACACAGTGTCGACAAAGCCCGCGGCAATTTCTCTGGTCGTCCAACGTCCAACGACGATCAGTCCTGTGCTCCGGCACAGCATGCTTGTACACACATGGGAACTCGATGCTCGCTTCCGTAGGAACTGGGTCAGACATCCTCTCTGTTCGCTCAATTGCCTCAGAGATGCCAACCGAGCCGGTCGACCATAGATTATTCGTTTCGAGTAAATATAGATATGCGTACGTATGTTTGCTTGACCACCAGCATATGTGGTAATACCCTCCATATTTGATCCCTCTGATATGTACTTCCCCTAGTATCAATATCGTAAGGAGTCTTTGTTCTTCTAGCAAACCTATGTGACCAGTCAGCCATATTGAACGCCAGCTATTTTAGTTTCAAGGGTGCTTACAGAATACTCCCCAGCTCATCACAGACCCAATGTCTTTGCTCAAAAGAGCAAGATAGGAACCACCGCAATTGATAGTTGGTGCTTTGGTAATAGCTTTAAATGCTTGCGTGCCTTGAAATAAGGATGCTGCAGCCGCAAGGACCACGAGTTCATCAGCTTCTCTGTTGTGAGGTTGAAGCCAAATCTCTTCTCAACATTCCTTAAATCTGTTCACTTTCTCCTCGATTCAAGACTCTTTGTCTACTCATCCTCGGCACAATCTAAGCGAATCAAACAAGGAGCGCCAATGCTAAAAAGGGAAATGTGGGACGTCATTGGGTGTTCTAACCTTCTGCGGTCTCCACAACGCTTAACTCTGTTTAGTGGAGTCTGAGAATAACCTCAAATGCCCAGCTTCTCTCCTGGGTTTCACCCCCGGTAACGGGGCTCAATTAATTTGCTTTTTTTTGGTACAGCTCCATCATCATCATACGCCATCTCGTGCTATCTCATGCCATAGGCATACGATGGTAATTTCAGTCATCACAGTGGAGCAAAGGGAATAGGTGCGTTGTGTTCTGTGGCACTGCATTGTACGCCCCAGGCACAACCCCGAAAGGAAAATGCCCCTTGTCTTACTCAGAAGAAACAATTTTTCGGGGATAAGGTAGGCTAGGGCTAGCAGTGGACTAATACTACAAAGTCTGGAGCCGCCCAGTTCCACATCTCTCCTCTTGAATTCTCATACTGGCCTCGACCTTAGGGAATCGCAAGAATTGTGAATTTTTGTTGAGCAAAGCCGTCACACTGAAATTTCCACTCCTTGGTCCCATGTTAAACGAGGTCAATACACCAGTTACTGACCGCGAAAGAGGGGATGCAATTGAAGACGAAATCAAGACACTACCTCATGCGCTGGATTCAATCCCGCTCATTGTTGGAATCGCTCTTGTAGATAGTAAATTGGAAAAATCCACGTACATTGCTACCACTGCTCAATAACGTAGGTATCTAAACTATCTAAAATGGGATCGAAGTATTTGGTTTTCTGGAGGCGGTGAAGACCCAAGAATGACTGTGAGAAGGTCCTGGGAGGTCTGGGTCTTGACCAAGCAACCACTTCAACATATCTAATTTTTTCTCTTTCTTCTCTTTCTTAACCCCTTTACTTTAAACTCTCTTCTTAGACGCATGGGATGGAATTATGGCCTAGAAGTGGCTATCTCTGAGGCTGACTGTTGGAAGGTCACGTGACCACCACTGTTTGCTCCCAGAAATTAGT